AGTAATTGTGGCTACTTCCCACCAGGCAGCTGCCTCAAAGCTATTGAACAGATCACACAAAGTGTTTGAACGCCATCAAATAAATAAACAGTTAAATAAATCTCTCGTCTGAAATGAGATTTGAGCGGGTTGTGGTACGATGGAAAGATTCGTACTTCTGCGTATGTGAGCCAAGCGAATGCCTTAGTGGTAAGCAATTTCTAGCAAAGAGCAGGAATAAAGAAAGGGACCATTAAAGAAAAAGGTTGGGTTTGTTGGGTGTTGAAGTCATCCAATGCCACAAGCATTGTCTCATAGTTTACCACTTAGCAGTGGAACTTTGTTGGAAAGTGAATCACTTTGAGAATATCCTGTTGCCAAACAGACTGGTAGGAATTTCCTTGTCTGTGGCAATGCTAGAAGTTCATTAACAACTCAGAGGAAATGACTGTTGCCTACGTTGACAGGTGCGTCAGCCTGGCTCAGTTGGTAGCACTCTCACAGAAGCTTGTGGGTTCGAACCCTGCTTTGAATTCCTCCCGACGCGAAAGGCACAATACAAATGTAATTTGCTTTTATTGTTGAATCCTAAGCTGACACTCCAATGCAACACTGGGGGGTAGCAATGCATTGTTGGAGATGCCGTCCTTTGATCGCACATTAAACCGAGGTCCCGTCTGTGCCTGTTCAGGTGGACGTTAAAGTTCCTGTGGCACTTCAAAAAGAAAAGGGGGTTTCTGTTGGCTGGTGTTTTGGCCAACAATCCCCCAAATAAAATTGGTCACTGACTTCATGGCTGTTTGTGGGATATTTCTGCGTGCAAATGGTCTGCCGCGTTTCACTCACAAAATACAGTCACTTCACTTTGCTGTAAATCCTGTTAAGCACTTTGAGACATCCTCCTGACGTGACAGTCACTGAATCAAATGTAAGGGTTATTGTTATTATTATTAAGCCTGAGAGGGCCCTGTTATTGACTAACTGGCCATTTTTGCGCTGCTAAGTAAGCATGTGCAAGGAGCGCACTCACTTATTCAGTGATTGAAGCAATTATCGTTAAGGGACTAAGTAGGATGAGAAAAGGCAGTCAATCGGTGGCTCTTTAAGCTCAGGCATCAGCATCAGATGTCAGTCCTGCGAGTGGCATTTGAAATAGGATTGAATAACTCATGAAAAAAACAGAATCCTTTAGCAACAACACAGAGCAGCAGTGTCTCGGGTTAGAGGAATCTTCGTTTTGGCAGCAGCTGTACTTTGCTGCAGCGCAAGGATAACAGAAGGAGAACAGAGAGAATCAGGCATTAGGCCCTTGAAAGAATTCACTGGCACTGCTCCAACTATTTGGGTTTAACCGAATAGCATTGAATTTAAGCCCAGGAGAAAGGATCGCAGTGACATATGGCATCAGTTGCACCCAGCCCAAGACTCGCCCATTGTGACTCTGACTGCATTCCTTGCACAGTTGCCATCAATGTCTTTGCAACTGTCAGCCCCATATTTAAGCAATGACTTGTCCAGTTGTATCAACTTGGTCCGTAGAGGGACTCTCTGGAGTTGAGATGGTTGAAGGGTGATCTAATTGAGGTGTTTCAGATGATAAAGAAATTCGATGAGGTAGCTACAGAGAAACTATTTCCTCTGGTGGGGGGGTGGGGCGATTCCAGAACAAGAGGGCATAATCTTAAAATTAGAGCCAGGCCATTTAGGAGTGAAATCAGGAGGCACTTTTTCACACAAAGGGTAGTGGAAATCTGGAACTCTCTCCCCCAAAAGGCTGTGGATGTTGGATCCATTCACATTTTCAAGACTGAGGTGGATAGATGTTTGTTAGGTCAGGGTATCAAGGGATATGGGGCAAAGACGGGAAATTGGAGTTGATGTACAGATCAGCCATGATCTACCAGAATGGCAGATTGGGCTTGAGGGGCTGAATGGCCTCTCTATGTTCCTCACAAGCTTTGTGGGTGTGGCAGGCCGACAAAGGAGTTCATTTTTGCCCCTGTGAACCAGCGCAGAGAATAAGGGAGTTGCTCTCGGTGTCCTGGGCCACTGATGGTGGGGCGGAGGGTGCAAGGGACAGCAGGAGGCCATCGCCAGTTGAGCGGAGGCGCCCGGTGGTGGATTGGGGAGTGAGGAGGTCGGAGAGGTAGGGATTCTCACACTTGAGCACAAATGTGAGGATCTTGAAGTCGATCCGTTCGGTGATGGGAAGCCAGTTTCAATGAAAGTTTGACATAACTCATATTTTGGCATAAGTCACATTAAATGTACAGTCCCAACTGACACGACCTCTGCGAGGTTTAGTGTATGTGAATGTTATGGCTTTGTTAGTGGTTCCTTGAGAACACAAAGAACACTCTCGAGGCAGGGACTGTAGCTAATCAACCGTGTATGAAAATTAACAGACAGTCTCCTCTTCACTACTGTCTGCGGCCCCTCTGCCTTCGGCTAGTCAGGTTTAGACATGTTGAAGCCACGCAGGTATGCAGGACCGAAGAACATTGACGAAATAGTTTGAATGTCTTGCTTATAATACAAGAGAGAGAAAGTAATTGACCGAGTAGCTATTAGCTGTTAACCCTTAAAGCGCCGGGCATAGGAATTGTCACCCGAACCGTACAAAGTTGTGAACCCAAGATCTCACCAAGACTTGCTTAGCCAGTGAAATTATTCTGTCCTTAAAATTCAGGGGTCGTGCAGAATTGTGGAAATTCTTGAATTTGGTCTCCATTTCAAAGCCAGCTCTTGGTAAGAACCGTGGAAAACCAGCCTGTGAATTCAGACGGCTTTCAAGAATGTTTCACCATTCGGCACAATCTCGTATGTGTTTTTTTTAAAAAAAAGCAGCTTGCATTTACATGGCGTCCCTCAGGCAGAGTAGCGTCCCAGAACACTTGGCAAAAACAGTCTTATACACTAACATTTTATGGGTGGACACAGCAGCTAATTTTTGCATTTGATGGGCAAGGATTTAATATAAAAATTCGGAAGAATCTATCTATACTAATAAAGACCGTGTGTCTGTCTGAATCAGATGGTTATTGTTGATAGCCGAGCTCATCGCACATGTACCGCAGTTTTGCTTAAGGTGTTTACCACACAATGTTTATGGTGTGTTAAATGCTTTGTTAGTGGTATCACTGAAATCTACAATCCTTATTGAATCCTTTGGTTGCAAGCGTAGCAGGCATAGCTAGTTATTAATAATCTGACATCCTTATGACGTCAGATTTTTACCCAACAATAAAGCTGCAAAGTAAACAGCGGTTCCCAAAGGTCATTCTCGCAAACAGCCTCTTGTTTTCCAACCTTTGCTTCAGGAATTTAAATTTAGAAAAGTATTTAACAACAAAATTACATTTGTAAAGCGCCTTTCACGTCGGTAGGACGTTCCAAGGCGCTCGACAATCGAGCCAGGGGTCGGGATCGGGATCGGGGTGGGCGGTGGGGGGAGGGAGAGGGTGATCGAAAGCATGGTCGAAGAAGAGGGTCTTGAAGGAGGCAAGGTTAGGGTGCAAGGTGCTATATCAAATGCAAGGATTATTACTTTGGACACCCGAACTGGGGATAGGAGTGGGGACGGGGGATAGAGAGGAGTGGGGGGGAAGATGACTGAAAGCGTGATCAAAAAGAGGCATGTTTGTGAATAGTATGCAAGTAATTTTAGAAAGCATAAAGTTAATTTTCAACAAAACAAGGCTTCTGGATATGATAGCAAATCCCCCCTCCTGCCCCCCCCCCCGCGAATTGGATTGAAAACTGCTTTGTCAAAGAGAAAACAGAAGGTGTTGATGACGGGAGATGTCTCCATTGGGGGGCAGAGGCTAATGAAGTTCTGCAGATGTCTGTTCCGAGCTCCCTGCTGTTTGCATGATTCATAGACAATATGGTAACGTGGGCTATCTGTTAATACTGTAACATTTATAAATGTCGCCGAGCTGTGAGGCTGTATTCTAATGGTGAGTGATAACATGCGAATGGAACCGAAAACAATCCCATGAATAGGCTTAGGCACAGCAGATGGGTCTTAATGTAGATTAAAGGCAAGGTTCGACACAAGGGACCATGAAATTACCACGTGAAGAATCCACGTCCATTGGCAGAGTTAGTAAAGAGAAAATGCTTTAGGTTTGTCTGTTCCCTTAAGCCTTAAGATATTGAGTGAACATAAAGGGGTTCATGAGACTGATCAAAAAAGTGAAAAGGCTTTTAATGGGCTCATTGTTAACTCGGCCACATTTGCAACATTAATTGTTCTGTTCTGGACACCCTACGTTACCGCTTTGGAACATTTCCAGCAAATTGTGTGGCTTTGTGCTGTGCACATTATGTGCCGAAACTCCCTCATTTTACTTACATTCAGTTGAAACCTTTATTCCACTAGATTTGTCTTTGACTACAATAGTTCCCAATGGAATCAGTGCAACCTCGCTAATGGCAAGCTATGCGGTTTTAGCTGGTTAAACTCTGGTCAGTTATCCCAACGCACACTCTGAGCTCCCCAAGCCTTGACGCTTGCTAACCTGTGCTTGATGCGCTTTGGAATTAAGTTAAACAGAGTACAGCACTTTGGGCGGTCCCCCACGACGTGAAAGGCACTTTATAAATGCATTTTGTTGTTGTTACATCGCTCTGGAGAGAGTGCACGTTCCATTCTAGACGGGGAAATTTCCATGTGCAGGTGCATGAAACTCTCAGCCTGGTTTGATTATTCCGATGCATACTGATGGGTTTCAGCACGTGCCAAGACAACTGGCTGACCAAAACCTCCCAAAAAAGTGATGTCTCAAAGCTCTTCACAGGATATGTTGTAAAGTGAATTGACTATGTATTTTGTTGGCGCAATGCAACAGCCAATTGCACACGGCAGGTCCCACAAACTGTCGTGGATTGAGTGACCAAATTATTATTCATTGAAGGAATTATTAACCCTGGAAAGCGATCCAAGCAGGAGTAATCCAGACTGTGAAAAGTAGTCATTTGCACTGTTTGTTTGAGTTGAAAAAATAAATACACTTTCCTTGTAATAGATCTAAGCTTTAATAAAGCTCAGATTAAAAATACAGTTTAGTGATCAGGTACAGAATAATCTGCTTATTATAAACGCCTTGAATAATTCTAGTTGGGTGTTTTTTAAACAAAGAATTATTACAATAATTTACAACAACACTGGATTACAATTTTTCTTCCAAGGAAAAAAAAACTATACTTCAATAAATACTGCCAAAACATTAGAACGGACTTACAAACTTCAACAAACAAACAAAAAAAATTGTAAGACGCCCTACGCTTTTTTGAAACATTTTATAATTTAAAAGTTTACGATAACTAATACAGAGAAGCTTTATTTTTTTTTTTTGCCAGCCGTTATATAATGTCACCCAAAGCATCATGATGCAACCAGTCTTGAAGCTTCGTTTCAGTGAAGTAAAACCAGCAGTGTACGTGGTGTGGGCAACACTGCGACCATTTCACTTCTGCAATGACAATGCGATGGGCAAAGTGTAACTACTACAGCGCTCACTATATCGTCAGTCAATGTTGTGTAGCCAATATCCTCTACCACACAAAAAAAAACTCCATATAAATACAGCACCCCATTTCCCCCTTCCTTTACTCCGGCACACTTCTTGAGAACAAAGTATAATTGCCCCTTTGCTTTATTATTGTCGTTTTAAACATTCTTTCAACCCACCCAAACCCCCCCCTCCCCTCTTCCGACAAGCTGTTGTCTTCCGCTGGCGAGGCCTGTGTTAAATCTTGTGACTTGACGTCGCTTTATGACTTCCAAGGATTCGTAGATGAGCTTTCCTCGCGTGTGTGTGCGCCCGCGCGCACGCGTGTGCGCGTGCGTGCGTGTGTCACTGACATCAGTCACCCACAGCTGCCTTTCGAGGCCACTCACTCCAGTTGCTGCACCCACGAGTCCCACACAAAGGTGAAGGATATGTTTTCTCTCTTTCTCTCTCTCTCAAAGGCTGATCCGAGCTGTTTGCTATGTAATTGATGCTGCGTGCGCACTGCACTCAAGTTTTTCCCCTCCTTTAAGTTTCTCTTTTCCTGTGTGTTGTTTTTTTTTTGGGGGGGTGGTGTGTGTGTATGTGTGTGTGTGTGAGAGACGGGTCAGCCGCCCACAGCCGCCACAACATTGTAACACGGTCTGAACTTCCTCCTCCCGCCTCCGCGCTCTCCTCACATCACGGTGCAACTCCGCGCCTTGTCCTTTCTTAAATCCGGGGACACGGTGGACAGTTCCGGTCTGCTGGGCACGTGCGAAATCCTCTTCGTGGCTCGCTTCGACTGGTTGCGCTTGACATTTTTGTTCGGTTTGTTGACGCAGGCCAGGGTGGCCACGTGGAAAATGTCTCTCACGCTGTTCTCCGACGACAAAGATGAACATTCGATGTACGTCGCTGCTCCGATCTGCTTTGACATGCTGGTGCCCTGAGGGGAAAACAGACCCACACGTCACACGCGGCCCGAATAACAACCCTCTGGATTCGATCCTTGCATTTGGATTCGGTGCAGCACCTCATCGCGTCGTTCAGACTTCTCAAAGGGGCTTCATAGGATATAACAACAACAACTTGGATTTATATAGCGCCCTCCACGCCGGACGGCGTCTCAGAGCGCTTTTCAGTAACGGATCCCGTAGAATGGATTGACTGGTGCATTTTGTGGCGAAACGCGGCAGCCAATTGCGCACAGCAGCGTCCCCATGAACAGCCATGGATTGAGTGACCGCATTTTTTTGGGGGGAAGGGACTACTACCCCGGGAAAGCCAGCCGAACTAGGAAGGAAGGATGTCTCAAAGCGCTTCACTGTAAAGTGTAGTGAGGAAACTCCCTTCCTTTTTCGAATCGAGCCGTGGGATCTTTAACCTGGCCCGAGAACATTTTTTCTTAAACACAGAGGATGGTTGGAATGTAGTATTCTCCACCCCAAATCATAGGTTGAAGCTTAATCCCTTAAGAGCCCATTAAAGTGCTCAAATAGATGCTCGAAGAGGAACGAGATTGATGGGCGTGGGGAGGGAATGGGAGGGTTAGTGTTAGGGTTAAGGTAGAGAAAAGGTGGCGAGACGTGCTGAACGCCCTTGTTTCTAGGCTGAAACCCTATCATATACAGTAACCTTATGACTGTATGTAAGAGCTCCGGAACACTGCCCCATGTGAAAGGTGCTGTATAAATGCGGTTATTATAACAACAATAATACATAAAAAGTTGTTGTAACTCTATGACTCTTCTAATTCATTAGGAACATCTTACGTCAGTTTCCAAAAGATTCAAAGAAATTCACAGCGAACAGAACCAGAATTTTGGACATATTTTCCATTGTCTTGTTTTCTCATTACTAACCATCCTCCCAGGGCTTATCAAGCCCAAACATTCCAGCTGTTAAATTGTTACACCCATAAAGCTAACAATCCATTGTAGGCAAAGCGCGGCAGCTAATTTGCGAACAGCAATAATCCACGAACAGCCACGAAGTGACTAAATGATAAGTAAGTGAATCTTGACAGGCAACTGGGAGTTTGGTTTACCGCCTCACCACCCACAGTGAATCACACACCCAGCACTACACTGGAGTATCAGCCGGGGCTATATGAGTTCAAAGTTGGGCTTAAACCAAGAACCTTCAGTACTGCCGACCAATGACTGTTGAAATTACACCCATCGCACACTTGTACCAATCTGTTTATTTGTTTAAAATAAACTGGCTTGGCTAGATTAACCTTCAATAATGTACTTCCTCACGTCAGGCAGTTCTGATAAAGTTGGGAGTTGACTTTGGTCGCCTCTCCCTTTTGTGTGAGACGCTGGATATCTTTTTCATTTGAAGTCTGTTTTTTGAGGTCACCAGTGAATATTTCTAATTTGAAGGATTTCCTGATGTTTTGTCTTGCTCACTCCTCTCCTGCTCTGTCCTTCCTCTCCCCTGCCCTCACCCATCACTCACACATAGACTTTGCAGTTGCATTCGATAGATGAAAGCAACCAAACACAATTGTGACTTTCACATCACACGATCGGTTTGGATGAAGAAGGCTCTTTGGCCCATCTGATCTCATCCGATCCGAACACCCACCCAACCATACACCCCATCACAGCATCAAGCTGTTTTCTGAATGAGTCCCAGTGTTCCTGTTAATTAATCCTCCAAGAAAAACAACCTCTGATTCCAAGTGATAATAAGTGTGAACCTAAGAATCCTTGTGCATATTTTAACAATCCGTGCTTTATGCTAACAGCAGACAAACGTACACATAAAAAAAACATACCTGATCATAGGAGACTGGAGTCTGCCGGTGATTGGACAATTCGACAAGCGTCGTCAAGTCTGTGCGTAGATCAGATTTGCAACCAACCAAGAGAGTCTTTGTGTTAGGGCAGAATTCCTGAATCTCACCTTTCCACTAGAGAGAGAGAGAGAGAGAAAGTGAGAGGAAACAGGGGCAATGAGTCTTGACATGAAAACCCAATACAATACGTTCTCTCTAGAGTCTTTAATTGTGGTGGTCAGGATTAACTCTGTAAAGCCAAGCCCTGAAGGGTAGGGTGGGTGGTCCTAGTCGGACGAGCAGCGGGATGCTTGCCATACAGCAATCCCAAAGACAAGCTAGGAGGTTTTAGCTGGCTAGACTCCAGCAGTTACATCCAACACATGCACACTCTGGGGTTCCCCAGAACACTCTTATCTCACCAGCCTGTGCATAACACTCTCTGGCATTAGGTAACCAGGATGTGTCCCTCTGAGTGGCGAATGCGCATTTGATTCTACATGAGGAGAAATTTCCATGTATAGATGGAACGCTCAGGCTGTTTGGGATATTCCTAAACCAACGCACGTGTCCAAACACCCGGGTGACCAAAAATAAATTCAATCGCTCCAAATGCAAGCAGGTTGAGTCAAGTGCACTCTTTTATAGGTACCCCATCGATTAGATTTACAAGTGATCAATCAACCCAGTCTGGCTGCTCAAATTCTTCCCTATTGGACAGGTATTTTACAGCCTCCGCACCACAAAATTGACCCTGCAATCTAAACTGTGGATTAAGTCTCTTCTCCCTCTACAAGTGACCTTTTAAACAAGCATTTAGCTTAATATCTTTCTGCTGCGTAATTGCACTGTTTATCAAAACGAAACAGCTTTGAAAGCGATTGCTTTGAGCTGCGTTTACAAGGGCTCACGCTGGCACGAAGTGGTCGTAACACCACACGGCTCTGCAAAACGATTACTGGACTGCACTTTGCAATGTAGAAGCTGTTGTTGACGGTATTACAGGTGAAATATGACCAGGCTGGTTGCGTACAGTCTGCTAGAACTCCCTGCACAGTGAACGAGAGGTGAATATCAACACGACGACGTGAACTTATGTAGAATTTTTGCGGGACGCTGCTATGCACAAATGGCTGCCGGGTTTCGCCCACAAAATACACAAGTCAATGTTCACTTTACAATATATTCTGTGAAGCGCTTTGAGACGTCTCAACAACGCGATAAGGCGCTATATCAAATACAAGGATTATTATTAGTGCCCTTCACAGGGTAGGGTCTCAGAGCTCTTTAAAACAAATAAGTGGCAGGTCTAAAAACACGACTGAGGTCGTGGGCATGTGTCCTGCACCATTTTTAATCAAGGGGAGGGGAATAGGCCAGGCTCGCAGCAATATTAAACTTCATTCTCTAACAAGTCACTCTTTATCTTTGAGGCTGTGTTTACTTCCCTGAGCTCATCATCGTCTGCTGACTTTAATTGGAAAATAACCCGATGTGGTGGGAAATGGCAGAACGACATCGATTTCAAAAGACTGGCTTTTTGCTTTATAATAAAAAAGGTAACCTTTGCGATATTGGTTTTGCCTCATGATAAACATTTCTCGAATCGAGTTCCAGAGGTCGTGAAGCAGAACTAAGCTCACGCAGGGAGATCTGGACATCAGCTGCCTCACAGCATGTATTTATCGTAATAATAATAATCATAATCCTTGCATTTGATATAGCGCCTTATCATATTTTCCAGATGTCCCAATGGGCTTCACAGAATGTACTGTAAAGTGAATTGACTGCATGTTTTGCATTTCTCGCTGAATTCTGAACATTGTGGAACCTTCAGTGACTGATTCCTTCTCTAAGCAAAACTCTCTTCCACGGCAGTGCTCAGCACTGGCAGACTTCACTTTTATTGTGTGCGTGTGTATTTTTGTGTGTATACAGTCTCATTGATCTGTTTGGAATCTGCCCTGTGGGTCGCCCTTCTGATCTCACACCGCAGTGTGTCGAAACGTACAGCAAACAAACTGAAGCATATTGCTGCTTCCCAGAATTCAAGATACTCAGGGCAGAAAAGTTCTTCCAAAGCTTCACCGCACAAAATCCTCAGCTGAAAGTTGATTTACTTTTTTTGGAGGGGGGGTGAAGGGTGGGGGGAGGTTGGAGAATGGGGGGTGAGAGAGATGGGGATAATAATCCATTAAAAAAAACATAATGATAATAATTTGGTCACTTAATCCACGATTGTTTGTTGGACACTGCTGTGCGCGATTGGCTGCCGTATTTCACCCACAAAATATACAGACAATTAACTTTGTAATATATTCGGTGAAGCGCTTTGAGATGTCTCGAAGGCAAATAAGACGTTCTATCAAATGCAAATGCAGATACCCTCTGATTACTGACAAGTGGAAATAATTTTTCCTTATCAACTATCAAAATCCCTCATAATTTTGAAGACCTATCAAGGTCACCCCCTCAACTTTCTTTGTTCCAACGTAAAAAAATGTCCCAGTTCTCTCGAGCCTCTGTATTTTAAAGTGACCTTAAATGGGCTTTATATTAAAGATTGCTAATTCCGTCCTTTGTTGAGTGGATTGATGTTCGGAAAGTGCTGGTCATTCAACCGTGGAACACACACATTGTAAGTAAATTGTGCCATTACGTCCCAGCCTAATGGTCTTGTGATCAGGAACTGCTGTCCTTGCCCTGTTCGTAGCGTCACTGGAGCCACTTCAGGATGTCGGGGCAGGGCAATTTATATAGCACTTCAGCAAGGATTTCCTTCCTATGAACACATTGCTTTCTGCCGGTTTAAAAAGGGCAGAGAGTCTCCTGTGTCCACGTCGTGTGCTACTTGGCCATTTTACTGCGTTGGGAATTTCGCTGTGAAATTGGAACAGGACAAGAGTAGAGTTCGCTATGGGGTGGGTGGGATGGGGGGTGTGGGTTCTCCAGATGAACGCAGAGGCTGGGCAAAGATGAGGAAGAAATGCTTGATACTTGGCCAACCCTATCCAAACAGGAGAGGGCTGGCCAAGGTGCACCGTGGAATGTAACTGCATTCAACAATAGGAGGAAGAGTCTATTTTCGAGTCGCCTTACATCACGGTAAATGTGCTGGAAACTCTGGCAAGAGTGGTTCCTCCATTGACCGTCATCCATTGGGAGGAAAAAACAAGAGGTCTCCTCGGAGCTGAGCTGGCTCCAAAGTGATGCGTTTGGCAACAGAATGTGGGACTCGAGCCAGTCCTCTGGGGCGGTCTCAGGTAGTCCGGTTCCTGAGCCAGGCAGGTCCCCAGTACTCCCAGGGCACTGCTGATGACAGACCAGCCAGTCTGTCTCATTGACAAGGAACTAGGAAGGGCGGACCGGTTACTGAGAGCAGAGATTCTTCCCATTCAGCTTCTGTTAAACCTGCAAGCCCTAACCGGTAGGGTGGTCCTAGCTGGATAAGCAGTGGGAAGCTTGCCAGACGGCAGTATCAATAGCAAGCTATTCGGGTTTAGCTGGTTAGCCTCCAGCAGTTACCCCCAATGCAAAGTAAACTTTGGGATCTTAGGCCTTGACTCTTGCCAACCTGCACCTTAATACTCTCTGGGATTAGATAAGCAGGGCGTGTCCCTCCAGGGAGAACGTGCATTCCATTCCAGCCACGGGGAACATTTCCATATAAGTGGAACTCCCAGTCTGGTTTGGTTACTCTTAACCATGGTGTTGGCTTTCCGCAAGTATCAGACAGCCGGCTAACGAAAACAACAACAAAAAAAAGCTGCGTGAGACTAAATTTTCTTTTAAACCAGGGCGTCTTTAATGGAGACTTGAAGGAAAAAGTCAATAAAACTCCATCTCGTGAACAGATGTTAGCACAGAATCCTTTATAACAATAATAATCCTTGCGTTTGATACGGGGCCTTACCACGTCTTTGAGATGTCTCAAAGCGCTTTACAGAATATACTGTAAAGTGAATTGACTGTATTATGTGGGCGAAACGCGGCAGCCAATTGCGCACAGCAGCGTCTCCACAAACGGTGGTGGGTTGAAGCCACTATCACTGAGATGCTCCCAGTATGGACTTGAGTCTCTGGTTATTCACGTCAGTGTGTTCTGTGCATTACGGTGTAGGAAGTGCTGTCGAACCTACCTTCTTAAGCACACTGTCGAGGGTCTCGGGCCGGCTGATATCGAAACAAATCAACACGGCGTCAGAATCCGGGTAGGAAAGCGGCCGGACGTTGTCATAGTAGGGAGAACCTGGAGGCAGAGCACAGAGACGAACATCTGTCAGGCCATGCATTACGTGTTTAATAACAATCCTCGCATTTGATACAGCGCCTTATCGCACCATTGAGACGTCTCAAAGCGCTTCACAGAATATACTGTAAAGTGAACTGATCGTATATTTTGTGGGCGAATCGTGGGGGCCAATTGTGCACTGCAGTGTATGCACAATAGTCTAGGATGTTTTGATCGGACATTATTTCCCCCTCTCTGCCCCCCACCCCCAACACACACACTCACACAAAACAAAAAATCTTGAAACGGTTTTACTAAGTTCACGGGCAGTAAACTAAGTTTTGTGGGATTTACAGATACGAGTGAGAGTTTAAAAAAATGCCTCGTCTTACAAGGCACATCGCTAGGTGAATATTTCAGGCTGGGCGAGTTGTAAATATAATAATAATTTAATCTGATGTCACACCTTTCAAGTGTCAAAGCGCTTCGCGGTATTCACTGTAAAGTGCCGGGTATACATGGAGGCGAGTACGTATGGAAATACAGGCGACAGATGCACTTTGCGTCTTTACGGCCGCGAATACAGGAACTCCAAACACTTATTACTTTGAATAATGATGAATCTGCATCCAGCCGCCTTGTAACAACACCCAGAAAAGCTTAAATCAGTGTAATGTCGCGACGGGCACATCACGGTATGGCTCAACGGGTCAAATGAATTACTCTGTCGGTATGTGCGGTCACACACACTATTTCTTTTAAAACACATGACCAACACCAAAACACAATGTGTTTTCAAATGCGAGTTTCGGCACTTGGCGATCAGGATATTGTACGGTACACGGAGACTTTGTCCTCCTGGAATTTGTTTCAATTCGTGCTTTGCGTCAACATGTTCCCGAAGGCATCAACCTTTCCTTTGATGATCGAGGTGTGTGTGAGAAAGAGAGAGAGGGAGAGAGAGGCATTGCCAAAGATTACCAGTGACTTCGTCGTTACCTATACTTCCGCTTGTCACGTGGTTTGATCAACCAGTTTCTATTACGCTGGCCTCATTCCCGTCCCCCTCAACAACAACTTGCAGCAACAAATAGCACGTGCGTAGAATCTCAGATGGCTTAACCGCAGCGTGGTTTGTCGCTGAGCTCGGAAGGGGGGGGGGGGGTTTAACCCGGTCAAAGAGGAACGTCTTCGGCTGTGATTTGAAGACAGACAAAGAGGGGGTAAGACCGAGGGATTGAGGCGAGGGGTTCCGGAGATTCGGGGCGTGGCGGCCGAAAGCACAGCGGCTAATTCGGGGACAGAGGGATGCCCAGAAGACACCAGCGGAGCGAAGGCGGCGGGTGGAGGAATGGGATGTGAGCAGAAGTATACTCAGTCATCACTCTCCACGCCAACAAACCCTTCTAACCTCTGGAGACGTTTCCTCCATTATCTGAGCTTTCCACGGCTACGTAGATAAAGATCGGCGTTAATGGCGTTTCTTTGAGGGGGAGGGGATGGGTTTCCTGAACACCCCCTTCCCCCCACAAAGAAACCCACTGCAGGTCAGCTCCAATGGGGTCAATCTTCGCACACACGTCCGGCCAAGAGCCTTGCGACTGCATCTGCATATAAAATTGGTCCTTCACTTTGGAACAGGTAAAATTTGGTCGTTCACCTCACGGCAGTTTGCGGGGCGTTGCTGAGCTCAAAATTTGCTGCCAACCCCTATGAGATACACAGTCACTGCACATTACGGTAGACCCTGTGAAGCGCTTTAGAGACAACCTCCCGACATGAAACGAACCACATCAGAAGCAGGGATTATTTTATTATTTAGTCAACAGCCTAGCCCCATCCTATCCTCACCCAAAGCCCACGCTTCCCAACCAGCGGTGACCGCCAACGTACAGGAACACGTGTCGATGTTACGCCTAACCTGATGCTAGCTTGCCCGTCACGCCTCCATTCAAACTGTGCGCCGAAATGTGAATCGAAGGGCTTAAAAATGTACGGTACAGGAAGGTTTAGCTTTGTTTCCTCCCCGATTAGAGCTGGGAACAGACCCGCAGACCAGCTGGTGAAAGTCAGGTTGCGAAAGAGTAGCCTTTGCCGCGAAAGGCAACCGGCGTTCTACAGTAAAGTGACAAGAGTGAGAGGAGAGAGCTTTTTTTCTCCCCCCAAGCCAGCCCGGAGAAGTGCATGAAGGAAAAGTGGCAAGTTATTAACTGCTTTTCGATTTGACTGGATTTTCATCCGCTCCCTTCTGACAAAGGAAGCATCTCCTTTACTCTGCGGTTAAAAATGCACCGGCCATCAATCAGAGTGACAGGACTCCAGACCAAAACTGTACACTGATAGATCACCCGTGTAATCTTCCTTTCTCATCAGCTCCCATTCAGTTAGCGGCTAATGTATTTTTTTCTATTTTTAAAAGAAAAGCTTTATTCTTTCCAGCGTCCTCTCGCCTCGGCTCTACTGACGGAAACGCAGACTAAGGTCTAGACACCTACGTAGGGAGAGGCAGCACAAAATACCTTTGCTGCTCACTGACCGGCCTGTTGAGAGCTGGTTTGCCCCAATGGCAAAGCACATGAAAAAGGCACCAGGCTGGACCATACAGATAAGTTCCAATCCCCAATCAATCAAGTTAGATCAGGGTATTAAGGGATAAGGGGCAAGGGCAGGCATTGGACTTGAGACATGATCTTATACGATGGCGAAACAGGCTCGAGGGGCTGAATGGCCTTCTCCTGTTTCTATGCCAGCTGATCTCAGCCAAGTTGAGGTGCTACAATTGGCCTTGAAGAGACTCTGGGTTAGAACGATGAAAATCAGCTTCCTTCCCTCTCATGATCCAGAGACAGCAGATTGGATGTGGGTGTCAGGTGCGAGAGGATGAGGCTCGGTCTCTGCGTGGAATCGCTCCACAAATAGCAGGTCCACACGAGCCCGTATCCATCCGAACTTCAGAACAAGAACTGCTTCTCCCTCTACCCCGAATCTCTGGAACTCCTCGACTCAATCCCGCTGTCTTACCCTCTTGTTTGTCTGTCTTCAAATCACACCCGAAGGTCACCTTTCCCTTCCTTTCCAGCTCAGCGTTCAAACCACGCTGCTGTTAAGTGCTCCGAGATACTACCCGCGGGAAGGCCGCTATATAAATGCACGCTGTTGTCGTTGAGAAGGAAGGGAATCAGGCCAACGTAATAGAAACTGGTTGATCAAACCATGAGACAAGCAAGCGGAAGGCTGTAAATAGACTGACTTCAGCGGGTAAATCTGCAACCTTCTCCGCTGGTCAAAACTTTTCACGACCTTGGGGGCTCTTCCCACACCCTCCTTTCCATTATAAATGCCCCTCACCAAGATTAGTGGTGAATGACCCAACAGGCAGAGAACAAGACACTCTCTCTTTCCCAAGGGAGTTTCCTGAGTGAGCGGAGAACCTCAGTATCTCTCAGACCAACTGTCGGAGAATAATATTGGACAAATACAGTCCACTCAAGGTTGTTATTAATGCGCTCATACAAGAGCCAGGCACAGTATGGTAAATTGAATGACTGATTGTTTGTTGAACAATCTCTGCTGCAGCTGGAAGTGCCGTCTCGAGATCACGTAGCCTCGGCTTTTTCCATTTAAACATGATGAACACGAACGAGTTTCTGAAAGAAGCACTAAGGATGAAAAGCTGAATGATGCCGGGTGTTCCTGCCTTCACTCAGAGGATTGTTAGCGTGTAGAATTCATTGCCACAAGTAGCTCTCGAGGATGGATCAAGGGAACCATTCAGAAGGGAACAGGCTAAGTGCCTGAGCGGTACAAAAATATGAATGGGGAATGGGGAGGAGAGCTGAAAAGTGGGAATAATACAATATGGGGGTCTCGGAAGAACAGAGAGCAGTAGCATAAACACAACGGGTCGTATTTCTCTCTTCTGTTCTGTTACGGTAGGTGAACAGCAGCAAGTTCTGAATTTACAGTTAAACAAAACCAGCTTGATGCTGTGATGAGGGGCGGGAGGGTGCAGGTGTTCTGGAGGGACGAGATCGGATAAGCCGAAGGGCCTTCTTCATCCGAACCGATCTCGTGAACTACTCTTAGGTTCTGTGGAGAGAGAGTCAATGCGATCTGGGAATAGTCCTTAAAACAGAGAAGTGGTTTCAGAGCAGGGGAAACAGGAGGAGATGAGGCAGTTTGTTTCTTGCTTGGATTCCAATACAATGAGAGGCCATTTTCATCTACCATTCCTACAAGAACTCGAGGGAAGAATAATTCCCCCCAAAAATAACTCTTCCCACGCTAGAGGGCATTTCTTTGTTCTTGCCTGGGCCTCGTCCTACAATAACAATAATTAAGCACAACTTGGGATATGATGAATGCTGATGGTATGTGGATTGTAACGTGACAAAGAACAACTGACAGTGAACTGGAGTGATCTGAAGTGTCACCGCCTGAGCCGGGCAAGGCAGCCCGGGTTGGCTTTTCGCGGCGTACGTCAGTGGTGGAAACCGCTGAGCGAAGCCGGCAGCCCATCCACCCAGGTAGCTTCTCACTGATGTGGCGCCGAGACATCTTCTTTATCGTCCTGATATGCGGCTGCTCTGTAAACAATCTGACACTGCTTGGAGCGATTGTCAGCAGTTTAATCAACAGGTTTACTGCTGGCTTTTGCAAATTGAGTTTTACGCTCGTTTTCTCTCCTCCCTTCAATCTTGCGGTGGGTGGGGGTTGGTGTGGATGTCTTGTTTACTGTTGTATGTGATTGGTTACACACCTGCCACAAAGCTAAAGGGTTACACACGCCACTCTCTCACTATAAGAATCTGAAATCAACGTGTTTAGGAAGACACTTGATGCCTGATGTGAGGGAGAGGGGTTTAGGAGGGGCGTTGGCTTGCGAGGAGTATGCAAACACCAGCAACGACTGCTTGGCCTGAATGGTCTGTTTCAGTGTTGCACAATCCCACGTAACTGCAAAATAAGATTGCGTCTAGTGACTTTACAACACAACTCTACCGCGCAGCTTGGTGCAT